TATTATTATTATTATTATTATTATTATTATTGTTATTATTATTATTATTATTAATTATTTTACTGCCAAAACTTTATCCATTAATTTATTTTTTATTTTAAAATTGCAAAGTTTGTGAGAATATGAGCGATAATGAAATATATATTATGTGCAAATTTTAGAAAACCAAAAAAATCCAATTTCTATTTTTTTGAAAAAAATTTTTTTTTAGAAGTATATGCTAACGTTAAGTTTACAATTCAAAGAGCAAGTTTGAGGAAGAAAACTTTATGATAAATAAACTTGGCTGAGAAAATTGAGCATATTTAACTTAAACGATAAATAAATGTGGGAAACTTAAACATATTTATCTACTCAAGTGATAAACAAATTCAAAAAAATAAATGTATATGTATAAAATTAGTTAGAAAATATATTGAATTATGAATTTAGCAGTAACAATATTCATCTTCTCTTTGTTTAACAATTTAAAATGATTTAATTTAAATTTAATTAAAATGATTTAATTTAATTATCAATGTCTAAATGTCATTCATAGTTTGATGTTCCAATATTTATGAAATTTAAATGTGGGAAATATTAATTAGCATATATTGTTAGGTCGAAAAAGACGCATTTGTCATGCGATGTCGCATGAATGATGATGGGACATCATGGATGGTTGAAATAACAGGCTGTAAGATACCATCAGGTATAACAATACCAATCAATTCAAGTATGATTGATGGAAATTATGAATGGAAATGTACGAAAAATAATGATGGACAAATTGTTATGCAAAAAACTTTACATGCTAATGCAACATGTGGTGAACATCAACGTGGTACTAATTAATTAATTTAAAACTTAAACTGTTAGTTAGTTTGTTATCAATTCATCTGTTAACATTCTTTGATAAAGAGTGTAATAAATCATATATTAAAAAAAAGAGGAAGTTTATGAAATTTTATTTTTTATCACTTCTTTTGATGGAAAAAAGTGCAAAATATCTTTCAATGATTTTTAATAATTTTTTAAGGTAAGAAATATAAAATTTTTTAAAATTAAAGTAAATTATTTTTTCCTTTTTCAAATGATATTAAGGTGACCAATGGCGTGAGAAATCATTTTTGTACGAATGTGGAACAGGTGGACAACAAAAATTGATAGCATGCTTTGCTGAGGATAACGAACAAATAAATGTTGGTGAATCGAAAGAAATTAATGGATATATTATAAAGTATGGTAATTTTTGTTTTTCTTTGTTTAAATTTAATTCAATACTGGATTTATATGCATATGTTCAAGTCATTTCCGCACTATCATTATTTTTATATTTTTGTACTGTTATTAGAACAATATAACTAATGATTGCATTATGATCATCATGATCATCATCATCGGTAATTAATAGTAATAATAATAATAATAATAATAATAATAATAATAATAATAATAATAATAATAATAATAATAATAATAATAATAATAATAATAATAATAATAATAATAATAATAATAATAATAATAATAATAATAATAAAATAATAATAATAATAATAATAATAATAATAATAATAATAATAATAATAATAATAATAATAATAATAATAATAATAATAATAATAATAATAATAATAATAATAATAAT